TATTATGAAATAATGAATGTCTAACATAATGTTCATCTCGCTTTTCATATCCTCACTACTCATGATTCTTAATATGATTCAATTCATCATTCAATATGAGAAATTGAAAGAGTGATGCAATTAATTATTCATAGTCCCTTCTAATTTTCTTCTCAATTTTGACACCTATAGATATGCTTGATTATTCATTAGTTGGTGTATAAGTTTTCTAAAGAGAATAAGAGAAATTATGAAGTTCTTATCACTTGTATTCATATTATAGTGATTTTATTTTCTTGTCATCCTTTCCTTCAATTCTCCTATTATTTCTATTTCTTTTATAACGGAATCCATTTAAAAAACATAACAACTTAAGCAAATGTGCAAAAACTTAATTGGATTGGACCGGCGATGATTAACCTTTTAAAAACTAGAATTCTTTTGATTCTTTGAATAATAACCATTTCCATTTGTCCAATTAACTTAGCCTAAAAAATGATATAGAACATAATACAACATTATTGGTCAAGGTCATAGACTCATAGGTAAGTTTTCCCTAAGTACAAAATGGAAATAATTTATGTATATGCGACACCAAAAATAAATAAATAAATTATATGTAGTTTTCTTTCTAGAAAATATAAATGTCTTTTTTTATTATTTTATAAAAAATTTTGGGTTTCGACAATGATAGAAATTTTAAATGTAGCTAATGAAACTTGTAACCCCCGAGAAAATCCTTAACCGTAAAGCGACGTATATAAGACTTGTTATATATTTGTATATCTATGAAGTGTACGTATACTTGTCATCACACCATGAGAAGTTAATGCTTGAAATGTGTGATATATGTTATATTAAAGTTATTGTGCTTGAGATTAATGGTCTAATTCTTAAAGAAATCAATTATGCAAAATCGGTGTTTTGAGATCTATATTCTGTCCGAATTTTGTGTGATTTATTTGAGGACTTTAGAGTGATTTTCGAATAACATTTAAAGAATAAAAATTGTTCTTCTATATTTCTAATATCTCTATTTAAAATTTTGTAATTGTTAGATTTATAAATAACGAGTTATGTCCATTGTAGTACAACCGGGTTTTGATGAAACACTCGTTGGAAATTTTGAAAAAAGAAATTCTGAATTTTGGGGGGAAAGAAATATTGGCTGATGAAAATAAGTTAGTAAGGGACTTTGTTAGTTGAATTACTTAGTTAGCTTAATTATACACCTAAACACTTGAATTAAAGACATGAAAGCCAACTCACTAATTTGCCACCTCAACTCGCCATCTTCACCATGACTCACCCATATACTTTACACTTTGTCCACTTACTTTAAGAAACTTAGAGGCCTATTTAATGCAAACCAAGGGAAGACATATATATATAGAGAACAAGAGGGAATGGCAGAGATTTTTTTGAAAAGGGATTATTAACTCGCCAAAAAAGAGAAAAACGTAATTGAGAGGAAGAGAAATAAGGCAAAGAAAGAGAGAAAAGAGAGGAAAGAAAGAAAGAAAAAAAGGAATGGAAAAGCTAAGGAAAAGTCCTACTCAAATCCATCTAGGTAAGTGGGTTACCTTTTCTTGTTTATATCATTATTTCATCTTTATACCATTGATTTAATCTTTACACACTTGGTTAAACTTGTTGCACATAGTTATGTTACTTGGCTTGTGATGTGTTGTTGTGATTAATGGTGTTAATTGGCTTGCCTTACAATTTTTATGGATATGGTTGGATGTAGTGATTGATTGTGTTGGTTGCTTTTCAAACAATAGAGATGCCTTGTATATAATTTAATTCATGTTTGGGGGATGAGAATGATGGAATTTGGGCTGACCAAAACATGATGGGTGAAATTGGGGTTGATATAGACTTAGACAAAGGAAAATAGGAAGGAAAGAAAAATGAAATTTTAAGGTTTTCGTAAAGAAAATTTTAGTCGAAAGTTACACGGCCTCCCACAAGGGTGTGTCTTTGCCCATGTAATGAAAAAACTTGTTTTATTTCAAGTCGAGAGTTACACGGCCTCCCACACGGGTGTGTCCTTACTTGTGTAATGTTAAAATGTGTTTCTCTTCAAGTCGAGAGTTACACGACCTCCCACACGGGTGTGTCTTTGCCCGTATAATGCCAAAATGTGTTTCTCTTCAAGTCGGAGAGTTACACGGCCTCCCATACGGGTGTGTCCTTGCCCGTGTAATGTCAAAACGTGTTTTTCTTCAAGTCGAGAGTTACACGACCTCCCATACAGGTGTGTCCTTGCCCATGTAATGTTAAAACGTGTTTTTATTCAAGTCGGAAAGTTACACGGCCTCCCACACGGATGTGTCCTTGCCCGTGTAATTGATCGATCACAAAAAAAAAAAAAAATTAATTTTCATTTGTTCCATACTTTCTTGGTTTCCATTTCTTTTACCAAGACAACTTAATAAATGGTCTAGTAGGCTCAAATAAATAGAAAATAAATATAGAAAGGTAAACCTAAAAAAGAATCGAGACTTGAACCTAAAGACTTCTAAAACGAAAAATACTACCATAAAAACGTAAAAAGTGGTTCACATGCTAATAACGATACAAGTTAAGGGTGAAAGAAGGTGTGACTTCCAATGAGGTGAATATTATGATAAGTGGTATGAGATTATCCGAAACCCTATTAGACCTATAAAATTATCCGAAATCGAATCTTGTATATGTTGGGCATGTTTGACATGATATATGTAACATCATGTGCATCATGTGCATTGAGGATGGAAAGGAAACTAGAAAGATCATTGAGACAAGCAATGATACGATTTGAAAACCGAATTTGATGAAATGGGTAATCGCAAGAAACCATGTGCGTGCTCTATTACTAACACCGTTAAGCGAGGGATAATTTCGCTAACCATGTCGCTATAACGAGAGATAATTCCGTTGCTAGCAGTAGATGATAATGAGATCACCGGGAGAGAGTAATAGAGCGAGTAGGTGATAACACGATCATCGAGAATTGGAACGCACGGACTTGCTAATACCTAGTGGTACCTAAATTAAAAATGGATAGGTAGAATGAAAAACATAACTTCATTGCATATTATGTGCATCACCCTACTTACCGAGCTTCGGCTCACCTCGCCGTTATTTGCATGTTATGATAGGAACGACTCAAAATAGTAAGGATGCCGCCGAATCTTCCAAAAAGGCTCATGTGCGACACAAACATATCACAGTTTATTTTGATTGAAATTTCCGGATTGAGATATCGATAGACATTTCAATGGTACCGTAAATAAATTTTGTACTTTATTCCGTTGTGAATATTCTTGTAATGTAATGTGTGTTGTACATCTTTCAAGACGTAATATGTAGTATGTTGTTACGATACCAAGCATAGACGTAGTAGGGTTTAAATCGGATTGAATGGGTCGGTGTGATGCGCTCCTCACCTAGCCACTCCTTTTGGGTAATTGGCAAGTAGGCGGACTTGGGCGTCACAAAAACCCTATCAAAAATAAAAAATCATTGTCAACATTAAAAAAAAAATTATCTTAAAACTTGTGAACCCAACAAAAAGAAAGAGTTAAAATAAAAAATAAACCAAAAAAAAATTTCCATTTTAAAAAGTAATTATCTTAAAATTTGAGTTAAATAGCTCAATTTATGATTATACAAGTGAATAAGTCATCAATTTATCTTTGTATTTTTAAATATGTCTATTATATATTTTTGTATATTATTTAATTCTTCAATATATTATTCTATCACATTTTTCATCCAAATTGACGTAATTATATTATTTCATTTCAAAAATGATCTTTATTTATAGAAAAATATAATAAAACATGACTTGCACATGTTTAGCTAAGGGGCATTTTTCTTTTAAAAAAATTAGTTATGTACAAGTTACGTGACTTTATCTAATGGTTTAGCAAAAAAAAATTCAATAAAAAATAAATTTAAAACTCACTTAAAATACATAAATATAATCAACTTATTTTAAGATAGAAAGACAGACTAAGTCATTATCTTTTATCTAATTATAGAGTGAAAGTCACCATGCGTTCTCATATTATCGATTTTTGATCATTTTAAACCATCTATTTAATTCGAATACAAATCAAATTCCGTAATAAAAAAGTTATGACATGTTAGCCTTTCTATTATCAAATTCCATTAGATTGACTATATTTTATTTGTTGACTAACGTCTAACTACTCATATGATAACATATATTAACTCATACAGGAAAATATAATTTTCAATAGATAATCATTTTTTAAAATTAAAACATAATTAATTATTATTTAAAAATGATACGTGTTCAAAAAGTTAGGTTTTTTAATTTATCATTTTAAAATAATGATTAATTATTTCTAATATTAAAAAAAACTCACTGTTTGTAAAGTTTGGTTTTTTATAGATACATTTTATTATTTTAAATAATAATTAATTATTTTTTAAATCATCTCTAATATTAAAGAAAAATCCGCTTGTTTACATGGTTAGTTTTATTTATATTACAAATTAATTTTTTTATATTTTATTTATCATTTTTAAATAATAATTAAATATTTTTATTTATTTCTAATTTTTAGAAAATAATTATTTAGTTGAAATTATATTTTCAGAAATAGTTTGACATGTGTCATCAAATAAATTGGTAGACGTTAGTTAGCCAATAAAGTTTTATCAATCTAATAAAATTGGATAATTAAAATCTGGTGTCATAATTTTTTAAATATAGAATTTGGTTCACATCAAAACTGAATAGAGGGATCAAAATAATCAAAAATTGATAATGTGAGGACATCCGGTAATTTTCACCCATTAATTGTGGTCCAAAATTACCGGATCGATCACTCCAAGAGTCCACCCTTTCTTCCACTCGTCTCACACCGGATCCCAAAAATTTCTCAACTCCACTTAAATGTAATTTAAACACTATAAATACACATAAAAAAAATCTAATCTCTGCTCATAAGCTCCCGATCGATACACAGTGAAAGTAACTAGATCAACACCGTTGAATCGATATGGCCCCGATTGCTGTTGGTGATGTTTTGCCTGACGGAAAGCTCGCTTATTTTGACGAGCAAGATCAGCTCCAGGAAGTGTCTGTACACTCCCTCGCTGCCGGCAAAAAAGTCATCCTCTTTGGTGTTCCCGGTGCCTTCACCCCTACTTGCAGGTAATTTACATCCTTAATTTAACTATTTTTGTATATATGATTCTGGGTTTGGCTTTGATTTTGATGCTGGTGTTTGTGTGATGTGTAGCTTGAAGCATGTGCCGGGGTTTATTGAAAAAGCAGAGGAGCTTAAATCAAAGGGCGTTGCTGAAATTTTGTGCATCAGCGGTATGTCTTCGTTTCCATTTTAGAATTGATTGTTGTTCATTTTCAGTCCGATCTAAAAAACTACCACACCTTTGACTTTGATTGAAAATTACTATGTGAAATAATACAGCAACTACGGTTTCAGAATTTGTTGCGAATACGGGCTTTTATGCTTGATGATACTGACACAGTTGTGAATTAACGTAATCTGGATTGAGCTCCCTTCATATTTGTAGCCAACATGACCGGCTGTTCTAATTGAAATTCGAAGGATGAGCAAGTTTCAAACAGAGGGTTTTTTAATTTGGAAATCTGTCTGAAACACCCTAATGTGGTATTGGTGTGTCCGGCATTACTTCCACATACATGTTACTTTTCATAAGTCATGCCAAACCGAACTCTTAAATATGTGTGTGATTCCTGATTCCCAATTATCAGCTGGATCTGTTCAGCTGGAAATCGAACTAGTTAACTTTGCCCATCGTGTATGATAAGTTTAGAAATGTAAAAGAATATGATCAGTTTCTGTAGGTTTTGAGTTGTGGCTTTTAATTTATTTGCAGTCAACGACCCTTTTGTGATGAAGGCATGGTCCAAAACTTACCCTGAGAATAAGCATGTCAAGTTCCTAGCTGATGGGTCTGCAACTTACACCCATGCTCTTGGCCTTGAGCTTGACCTGCAAGAGAAAGGACTTGGCACTCGTTCTAGGAGGTTTGCACTCTTGGTTGATGACCTCAAGGTGAAAGCTGCAAATATTGAAGGTGGGGGAGAATTCACTGTGTCCAGTGCTGATGATATCCTCAAGCATCTTTAAATTCTCATGCTAGCTCTCTCGATATGTTTTGGGTCATTGAGCCTTTTAGTTCCTCTTGCTTGGTGATACTAGATGTTATCGTGGACTTATAGAATGTAATGAATTTTGTATGGCGTTAAGGTTATCGTCTGTAGTGGTGTGAGATGGTTCTGCAAATAAAGGTGGTGTTTCTTGTTCTTATATTATGTGTTAGTTTGGAACTTCAGAGGTTTTTATTTATTTATTTATTTTTAGTTACAGTTTATTTGAGTTGAACTGTGAATGTTGGGAGGAGATTTTTCAGATGCTAACATAATGCCTACTACTAGAGTACTGGTCAAAATGATTATAGAAGTGGTGAGCTTTGTGGAAAGCAATGAATAACCCCATTTGCAGGATCTTTATTTATGCTTAAATAGCTAAATTAAAGATTTAAATATTATTTTAAAAAATGGATTTTTAAAATTAATTGGAATGATAGATTAAATATTTAAATATTATTTACGAATATAATAGATGAATATTTACCTTTAAGGTTGAATTCTTTAATTAGGGAGTTGTCAACAGTTGGTTCTAAATAATCTGGCAGCCTACTTTGTAATGTTGGGCTAAGTCCCTAGTCATGAAGATGGCTTTTTGTTCAAATAGCATGAGCAGAAAAGGACAATGTTCTGCTCATTGGAGTTTACGTAATGAAATGGTTCGGATGCTCTGTTATTTTATGTTGTAATGATATTTGCTCAGGAGATTTGGAAACCAACTAATTTATTAGGTTTAATGGTAATTTTTGCACCTTAACTATTAGAATTGTCGCAAATTGAGATTTATGCTATCAATTTGTTCTATTTTAACTTTAAACTATTATATTTTAGACAAGTATTATCCTCTTGTTTGTATTGACCAACAACTTCCTTGAACAATATTCAAATATTGGTATTTTTGAACAAAAATTTTCAATTCAATCCACTTTCATAAATAATTTTAAAATTTTTAAATTTGGAAATTATTTTTTATTTAAAAAATAATAAATTATATAAAAAAAAAAGCTAAAACCATCTCTCTTTTTTTTTAAGCTCTAAGAATACATAGATAATGTGGTTTTTAAAATGTTTACATACATGATTTTCAATTAATCTATTTTAAACTTGGTTAGATGTTACTCATTCGACCATGTGGCTTCACGACATATGAAACTTCTAAAATTTTAGGTTAAGGAAAAGGAATTAAAGGATTTTGAAATTGTTATCTAACATTGAAGAAAACTAAAAAACCTAACGAAGAAATTAGATTTAGAGATTTTGGATAAAGAGTTGGTTATGCTTTTGAAGGATAATAATCACCCAAAAATATTATTTTCAAAAAAAAAGTGCCGGGTTTAATCTAATTTTTAAAATATCTTCTAAAAATTATGTTGTCCAAATTATTTTTCAAGTCTATTTCCAAAACAAATTGATTTTTTTTATCTTTTATTGTGGAACCATAGTAAATTGGCATCGAGTTTCAAAATTATGAGTCTCATCAATTTAGGATTGGATCAAAAAAAAAAAAAAGCCGATGGTGACGGAAATATCCATTGCCAAAATGCTTGTCGTTAAATTTTTTAGCAATAGATTAAATAGACCATCACAATTTAGTGATGAAAATTTTGTCACTATTTTTGATGTATTTCCTTCACATTTCATTGTAAGCATTAGTACGATTGTTCCGAAATCCATCGCTATATAGAGATGAAAATCGGTCGCTAAATGTTGTTGCTAATTAGAGTTGTTACCTTTTGCTGGTATCCATCGCTAATAGTAAGTTTTCGTCGCTAATTTCCATTGCTAATAGCTAAATTTAAAGTTCCTTTTTCATTAGGATGTCGCTAAATTAAGTTTTTTCTAATATATATATATATATATATATATATATTGTTAATAGGCTTTTAAATGTTTTGTCGTATTTTTCAACCACTAAAAAATAAAATTATAACACATGAAATATTATTAAATAAATATAAAATCAAATGTAATACTATTTCGTTGTAAGCATTAATACGATTGGTGTGAAATCCATCGCTATATAGAGATGAAAATACGTCGCTAAATGTTGTTGCTAATTACGAATTGTTACTTTTTGTTGGTATCCATCGCTAATAGTAAGTTTTCGATGCTAATTTCCATTGCTAATAGCTAAATTTAAAGTTCCTTTTTCATTAGGATGTCGCTAAATTAAGTTTTTTCTAATATATATATATCGTTAACGAGCTTTTAAATGTTTCGCGTATTTGCCAACCACTAAAAAATAAAATTATAACACATGAAATATTATTAAATAAATATAAAATCAAATGTAATATATAGATATCAATACAATTTGGTATACGAACACATTAAAAAAATGAATTTAAAAGAAAACTAATCCTCATCAAAACCATTTATTACTTCATCTTTTGGATGTTGGGTATTGAAAGGAAAATCAAACTCCGTACGGGGGAGGAGGAGGGTGGTTAGAAGGAGGAATGCAACTCTTGAGTGTTTCCACTAATATCTACTCCATCCTCTCCATCCGTTGTTGGCTATGCTAGTTTTCCTCCTTGTATTTGTTCTTCCCCTCCCGGACTCGCGCGAGCATAGTCATGCTCTATATCCACTAGGTTCTAATCATATTACTCTTTATTCTACCGCATACGACACGGCAATCATGATGTGGCGAGAGATTGAGCTAGCACTACAATGAGAGTAATATATGGATGCTTATGATCCGAAGCCAAACACTTTATGCTTTTTCTCGTCTCCTACAGACCTCGAGATACATCTATGACATGTCAACGCCCGCAAACAATGAACACCTTCGGTTATCGGCTAACAGTCGACACACAACTCGGTTCACGCACTCTTATGCAAATGAAAAAGTTATAATATTAAATCATAAATGAGTTAATTACACTATAAGTATATCAACTTTTAACTTTTTTTCAATCAAGTACATGAACTTTAATTTTTTCTTTTAAGTACATCAACTTTTTTAAAATAGACAATCAAGTACTTATATCAATTTTTTCATTAACCGATTATATGTCTAGTACCCTCAAAATATCAAATTATAATTTTACCTTTTTTTCTTAATCGAGTACATGAATTTTAAGTTTTTTTTTTCGTTTGAGTATATCAACTTGTTCAAAACTATCAATTAAGTATTTTCATCTCTTTCTTCATTTATTAATGGCATATTCGAATATAAAAATATAGCTTTATCCTCTTTTAATTGCAAGAAACTTTCATCTCTTTCTTCATTTATTAATGGCATATTCGAATATAAAAATATAGCTTTATCCTCTTTTAATTGCAAGAAACTTTCTTCTCAAATTATTTTACTATTTTATAATTTGATAAATAATTAAAAAAATTATTTTTTATCTCTAAAACTCAAAACTAAACTCAATTAAGATATTATTAAAAAAAAATCAGTTAGGTTTAAAAGTGAAAGTTGAAGAAAAACACAAATGAATCTTCCGAATGAAAAATCCGATGTTTGTGTATTATTCAATTTTCACGCTCACAACCTAATTGATTTTTTTTTAACAACAAGCCTTATTAAGTTTAGTTTGAGATTTTATAACTAAAAATATATACTTTTTAATTATTTTTCAAATTTTAAAATGATAGAATAATTTAAGAAGAAAATTCCTTACAACCAAAGAAGAAGAAAATGTAATTTGGTATTCAAACATGTCATCAATTAATGGAGAGATTGATGAAAATACTTGATTGATAATTTTGAAAAAACTACCGTACTCAATCCGAAAAAATTAAAGTTCATGTCCTCTATTAAGAAAAAAGATAAAATTATAATTTGGTATTTTGAGGATAACATACACGTCATTAGTTAACGAGAAAATGTGACTAAAGTACTTGATTGATGGTTTTGAAAAAATTGATATATTCGAATAAAAAAATTAAAGTTCATATACTTGATTGAGAAAATATTAAAATTTTATATACTTATATTGTAATTATCCTAATCATAAATATAATTTTTTTTATTAAATTTGCATATGAGTAATTAAAATAATAAAAAACTCACCCCAAATGTCTTGGTCGATAATCCACGAACGACCCATCCTAGCTCCTTTGAATACTCATGAACAAATTGCAAGTATCTAGGTCACGACCCAACTCCTTAGCTTAAAAAAGTTGAGATAAACAATATAAATTTAATAAATTTAAATATTAATTTATAATGAAATGGATAATAGAATTTACCATTCATTGAGTGTACTCAATCTATGAGATGGAGCCCCTATGTGTCTAGATGGTCCAAGCACTAGCACCACTCGTCTTACTTGAGTGGTTCCGTATTGTTTACTCGGAACGGGCTTAAAACTCTTATGTGTTCCAATCCTGTCTCCAAGCTACCCACATCGGCTCTAGGATAAATTGAGGTTTGTTGGTCTTTTTCTTATAGCCGATCAATATGTTGGTATACTGCTTGCATGCTAGACGCCCTTATTTCATCATAACCATCGAGTTGACGACTTCCTCCAAAAAAAAAAAAAGCTTCTACAAGGAAGACAAAAATTACTATTAGTACGTTTCATGTTAATAATTTAAATGTAATATAAAAAAATAGTTAAAATATTACTTTAAACTCATTCTAGTAGAATTCTTTTGTCTCCTGCAAGATTGACTTCCATGTGGAGTCGGTAGGGTCCAAATGCTTTTTGAAAATTCTAGTGATCCATTAGTGCACTTACTAGATGGATACAAACTATCAAACATAAAAAAAAGTTAGTAAGTTAATAAATATTTAAAATAATAATTCAAAATATAAAACTAATTATCACATCTAAAACAAAAATAATTATATCCGCAACTGCAGACATATTATTTATCCATTATTAACGACACAAATGGTCCGTTCGGTATTTGAAAGTAAAAGAAACCATCAATGCGACATTTGCTATCGTGCCTAGTTCTAGCGCAAGATCATCCCATGAGGGAGTAGGTACGAGTGCTGGGGGCTTGTTATGGCATATCTTA